ATCGCGCCCTCACAGCACGTCTGACCATATGTTTTCTTCACGATCCACCGCAACTATTATACTACGGCAGTCAGCCTCGCTCTTCAGTCACACCAGCGACGGTACCTCCCGGTCCTCTTCGACACATCGCCTGGCTACCTAGAAGATCTGCGTCCCCTTAACCGCCGCTTGTGAGGCTATCCTCGCCCTCAAGTTGCAATCCTCTTATTTCGGGGCTCTCGAATCACACTCGCTATCGATTACTCAGTCTCTGACTGCTGTACAGCCGCGACGAGTCTTTCAACATCGATTCTCCATGGAACTCGCCCCGAGCAAAGGGTCTAGTACAATGTAGGTACCGCAATCCAACGTTGGCACTGTGGCACTTGTCTATGTATATGAGCTACGGCTGGCACATTGGCGAACGTGGGAGACGGCGAGAGTAATGAATTAACCTGAGTCTCTTGGCTCTCTATATGCGTGTGAGGTCGTGGTACTGAATCGCTTTCTGTCAGGCCTCTCAGCACCGTGGAGACTTTGTTGATCCGGGTCCCAAGGCGAGTTGGTGCGAGAGTTTGTGGGGGAAACGCGTGAAAACTCAGGCTGCAGACGGAATGCTACTTACCCTTCTAATACCTGATACGTAGCAAGAGCTCTTTCTCGCCCGTATGAACTTGACTGTCAACGAATTTCATGGGAGATTCCGTATATCAAATCAGTAGAGAGAAGATGGCACGGCGCGGGAGAAGGGTTGGCATCTAGACCTGTCACCGGTCCGTATATGACGAGGCAAGCTGGGTATATACGGACCTGTAAAACGGAAGCAAATCTTCAGCCAGACATTTTAGGGATTTGCCGAACAGAATATGGAAACCACCTTGCTTACCATTTAGAGTAGAATATTCTCAGGGCCCGTGCACGGACGCGCTGGCGCGACTTCCTTCTCAACTTCCGTCAGTTACGTTCTAGCGATCTCGGCTTTCCCTTTCACAATGACCACAGAAGGCTGCCAGACAGTAGCCGACTACGTAGAAGATGTTCTTACCATGCAGAATACACCTTTACTTCAAATTCTCGAGCGCTACGATATCCCAGCCAACCCTTCCTACCCGCACACCTATATCAACTCACTTTCCGGCAAGAACCTTACAACAGCATTCCGGACTATTGTTATTGCCTTTCATACCACGAATGGTCGAGAAATTCCACGCGAACATCAACTCCGATTCGTTGTAAACTCCATCAATCACGACTCAAGGTTGATAGCATATGCAATGTTATTAAGACCTTTGATGCAGGTATAAACACAGGGGATGGCCGAAGCTCAAAACGTAGACGGGTAGACCCCAGAGATGTAGTAGTAGTATAATCACATATGTTTCTAATCATCCTCGGGCTGACCAGTTGTGAAATCCATTGGACGCAACTCGTCCTCTTCGACCTCAAACACCCCGTCCTTATCAGAATCGCGGAAAAGAGCCATGTTCTTGTTGTACGTTGGAATGGTTGTCTTACGCACCTTATCCCAACCCTCCGAAAGTAGATTAGGAGTTGCTTTGACCTCGACATCAACCTTTCGATCCGGAATGAACTTGAGAAGCTGATACTCTTCAATGGCAGAGACAACCTCCCAGACCGAGGCAGACGTATCAGCATTGGTGTGCTCTTTCTTCTGGTAAGCCGTTTCCATCATACTGCGCATTACTTTTTTGATAGCAATGAGGGACCTGATCGCGGCAGCATAATCCCCGAGTCGATCCCAGGAAGCATAAATTCCTTTCGCTGCGTACAGTTTCTGTAAGAGAGTAAGTGACCGTTGTTAGCCCAAAGTAGATAAGGGTACCTTGATTTCGTTAATAATGTGCTCAATGTTCATATCAACACCAAGAAATGAGTCGTCATGGCCCTCGAGGTTGACAAGGATATTCTTGCGTACAATATTCCTGGTCCAAACGTGAGAAAGTAGCCCAAGCCAACTGTAAGACTCACGCAAATTCTTCCGGCCAGATTTGGTTCAAGTTATCCAGGTAATGGAGAATTTCCATCGCATACTTGGCCGACCCGCAACCACGAAAGATTGCCATGAGATTTGGCAGTATATCCTCGATTCTTCCCACATCTCCAGTCTTTGTAGAAGTCTCCAACTCTCGCAAGTACAGCAAGTCGTGGAACAGCAACCTGATATTCTGATGGAGAATATCTCGTTCCGGATCCTTGGATGACGAGGTCTGAGTTGATGTCGATGGCCAAGTTTGTGATGGGGCTGTTGATGAAGTCGAAGCTTCAGCTTGACTTGTTGGAGGTGCCGTTGCGGTAGGTGCTGGTGCGGATGAAGTTTGAGTTGAAGGAGAAGCTCCCGATGCAGACTTTGCTTCGGTAGCAGTGGCAGTAGCAGCAGCAGTAGACTCGGAATCGGGTGTGTTTCTTTTTTTCCGAGGCTTTGGTGGTGGTGGTGGTGTAACATTTGGGAGCGGTCGCGCAAAATCATTGAGAATCTTGAATGACATCCCGAGAAGGAGAGCGGGGGATGGATTTGAGTCAAGGAAGGCTCCGAGTGTTGGGTATGAGGGCGGTAACACTTCCTTCCAGGCGCAAATCACGATGCCATCCAAAACCTGACCGTGCGCATCGCGGAGTGGATAGTACTCGGGCTTGTCATTACCGAGCCGTTTCTTGCCCATTCTACTGTAAAGATTCGAAAGTGACCCGGGCTGACGTATAGTACCATAATGCTTATCGCGAATCCCCCAGTGTAGATTCATGAGCATATGGAAGATAGCTGGAGCGAGCTGGAATATTTTCCGCTGTTCCCAAGGTGAGATATCTTCATGGCGAAGAACCTGAGTGGAACGGATCCTCGCGTTCGTGAGTTGATCATTGATTGACACAACTGCCATGGCATTGAGAGTCTCCTCAAGCCTCTTCATCTGGTCAATGTACGCATCCCGTGGTACTTTAAGGTTACCTGCGGTACTCGCTTCCTCGATGGTGGTTATACGCAAGGGATCAAAGGAAGTGGTGGGTAGGGCGGGGATCTGATGACGTGTGAGGAACTGGAGGAGTGGATGGTTGAGGATGTATGATGGATCAAATCCACGAGGTGACCCGAAGGACACAAGAACTCGAATGAGATGGATTGCTAACTGGTGACGATATGAAGATAATGATACAACAGACGGCTTGAAATCGACAACCGTCACTGGTGAAGAGTTACGAAGGCGGGTAGTGATGGGCTCAAGCAACATGTGCGAAGGATCCTTGACAAATCGGAGCCCGTAGCAGAGAACCAGAGTACCCGATTGCACCTTGCTTGGCGCATTGGGACGCTGTTCAACATGAACAGAGCCTTTGGAGTTATAGTTATCCCAGTCGAGCATATGTGGCCCAAATGATACAGTGCGAGCGTGTTCAACAGCCCGATCCGCTAGGTGAGTGATAGTATCTTGAGTCGTAGGAAAGCAAGTGGAGAGGTGACAGTGGTTAGGTGTCTCGATCATCTGACGAGAGGCACCGACGGCCTGTGAGAATACACCGAAGGTTATCTGGAATTTGTTACAGCGTGGCGAATGCATGTGAAGAACTTGAGCAGTAACGACGTTGATACCCTGGAAGCCAATATCAGCGCTCAACTCACTACGTGGAGGAGAGATGAAATGATCACCAAACAGTTTCGCTCGTACCGCTCCGGACTTTCTATGGAATCCGTAACAGATCGTATAATCTGATCCCACGCAGGAGTAGATTTCCGAGTAGACTGCATCTCGTGGCGGAAATTGTATGTTTGTAGTACCTCTGGCGTAACTTGATGCGAGTAGAAGTAGTGTTCTGACTTGACCTTGCTAAACTCTTGATGTACACGCTCCGAGACCTGTTCGAGTGCAACCGGCTGCATCCATTTCGACATGCGCTCGCGGATTGGACCTATATCCCAGAGAGCATCGAGCATCTGCTCCAAGCGCCTCGAGTCACCTCTGTAGAGACCAACTAGATGGTAGTCGAAGGTAGTCATGGTCAAGATATTCTGGATGAGCTCCCAGACCGTCATCTGATACTCTTGATTCAGCATCTGCAGGATTTCCCGTGTCGGCATACGGCGAGGCTTTCGAGTCCGAGTCTTTTCTGGTCCATCTTCCTCGTGGTCCATTGCAGGTATAAAGGGAGAGTCCAAGGTCATCGCGTCTAGTCCGAGACTACCAAACAGAGGGCTGTGTGAGGTATCGACGTGTAACGGGTCAGCCAAGTTGATTGTGTTGGCGATCGGAAGCTCAGAGAAATTGGTAGAACACGGAGTCTGAGGATACAACGAAGACAGAGGGTTGCTCGCAGGAGTGGAGGGGGTGCCAAACATGAGTTCCGGAGTATCGGGTGTGATTGAGTTGAATGAAAGAGACGAAGCAGACCGGAGTATTGATGTGCTTGCATTCGGAGGTGTGGCGGCTGGTGTAGATGGAGGTACCTTGAATTGTGGAGGAAGGCTATACGGGTTTTGATTCCTTGACTTCTTATTGGTCACTTGAGAGCCTGAAGCCACTGATGGTATTTGCGAAGGCGGAGGTTCAATGTTCTGAGCATTGAATTGGTCGTGCGATAGAGTCCTGCCGCTGAAAGGATTCTTTGTTCGTGTCCGTTTTGGTTTAGATTTATTCGGTGGTCTTCGGAACAAAACGTCAGAACGAGAGTAGAAGCCGCAAATTAATCTTATTTACGGTAATAACCTCGATGGGGAGGCAGGAGGTTCCATGAGCGCGACGCGTCAGAGCAACGTGGTGGTTACTATTTAAGGGTCCTGAGAACTTTTTACTCTAGATAGTAAGCAGCCCGTTTCCATATCCGCTTCGGCAATTCCCTAAAATCTCTGGCTGAGAATTTGCTTCCGTTTTACAGGCCCCTCACGACTCAGCTTGCTCGTCCGTGAGGGGCCGCGTGACAGGCCTAGTTGGCATCGAACGGTAACTCCTTTGGACTTACATAGTGGGTTATATCATTATGGAAAAAGAAAGTACCCTACTAAAAGTCTTGAATTCCGATGCGGGGAATCGAACCCCGGGCTGCTGTGAGACATGTCTGTAATCTTGTACATGAAATTTGAAAGACAGCAATGTTAGCCACTACACCACATCGGATATTACCAAAGGTTGTTCGGGTTTCGCTGTGTAGACCTTGGACATAATCCGTTAACGTTTCCCGCGTTTTAGATAGAGGCACACTGAAGAATATCACGGGAAATTTGCTCCCAATCACAAGTATCTAGCTCCATGCCTGGTAGCACTTACACTCCACATCGATAGAATGGCAATTGGCTGAGGGCTCGACCTATCGGAGAGGTCGACTTCTGACAATTCGGGTCCAATGGAGCATTAGCCTGCTTCGACTTCTTACTTAACCATCCGGCGTTTGTGTTCTTGGGTTCCCCAAAGCGCACCGTACTCACAACGCTTGTTATGCACGTTTGTCTTGTCTACTCGACCACAATCTGACCGCGAGACAACTGGTCATTGATTTTTACTTGGCTACGGAAGAGGACGGTCTCTGTCTGGAGGTTATAGTCAAACCTATCACGTCTATGACTGCGCGAATAGAAAAAATTATCCTCTACTTGTGTGCCATACCTCCCTGGCTGGAGTCGAACCCAGCTTTCGCGCGTTGTGCACTTCGCACCAACGACTAATGACAGGCGCGTGAACTAACCGATATACTACCAGGGAATTGTCAATGGGTAGGTGAGCAGCAATATGTTCAGTTTCATACTCAAGTATGAGTTTATACTTTCAAGTATACATATCACTAAATTTTACGAGATTTTCAACTCGTTCAGGTTATGCAGCAGAGAATGACATCCCTTGATCCGGGAATGGACGGACTCAGGCGGCCAATTCTGACTCAGTTCTTGAAATACAGTACGTGCTGCAGAGTTACTGTTTTTAGTACGCCGTGCCATCCCTTCCGAGAATATTTTATTGTTTGCTGGGTGGAAATCATCGTTTTGGAAAGGCAATTTCTTGCTTTTCTGCTAGCATAATTGGACACATTCTCCAGATTCGAAGCTCCAGTGGTCCGCTCATCCGCTTACCCAATCTTGAAATACCAACTACCAACAGTCAGACAGGAGCGGGAATTACTTGATAGCTGTTAGGACTCTTTACACCGTAGCCATGTCGATGTACGGAGGGGAATTAGAATCAGTTTTGGACTTCTCGATTGCGTGAAAATGGTCGGTTGAGACTCGAGTGTACTATAGCTGGGTGAGGATGTGGGTTTGTTGATCCAAATAAATCTGCTATTCATTTATCTCGGATACTGAAGATGTTATGCACACCTCAGAGACTGAGAACGAACGGTAGCCAGTATCAACTGGAGAATAAGACTGTCAACCAAGAATAGTGCACGTAGAATACTAGCTGCAGCCAGGTCACGTTTACCATGTGTATCGAGTATTCAAATTGAGCCCTTAATATTCACAATCTTTCCAATTCGTTTGGTCGTGCCAACCACTTCGACATCGGATACTATTACGAATAAACCGTATACCACGAGGTACCTTTTGACTTTTCTGACCCTTCACTCGGGTACTACGTGTCGATCATCTCGACATGGTTCAGTAATTCATACACGGCATGATGGGAAGTTTCATGCCCCTACCCACCCCGCCAAACCCGCGCCGTTTCTACCAACCCTGCCAAACCGGTGATTTAAGACCGACACACATAATCTTAAGGAACCAGGCTCTCAACGTATAAAGGGTGGCAGGAGAGCCGGAGCTAATCACTCCCAACTTTGATTCCTTTCACTGTCAGCGGAAAATGCACTTCTCTTTCCTCGTCGCCCTTGCTGTGTCATGCGCCACCGTGACCACTGCCTCAGCTATGACCGTGACTGTTGGCGCTCGTCAGGCTGGAGGACGTCCTCTTCACCCTGTATGTTTTCTCAGACCATTGTTGACGCGACTCGGATTGAACTCTTACCCCCTTCCAGAACGGCAACACCGATTGGTGTGTTGTTCCTTACGACGGTGGTGCACCGACTCCTCCTACCGACACCAACGCCGTGATGTGAGTGTTCGCTCACCCAAACCAATGACCTGCTCACTTAGCCCAAACCATCATCTAGCTACCCGTGCGCCGAGTCTAATTTCACTCTCTGGAACTTCACCGAAGGCGAGACCGAGGTTCAATCGGTCGGTGCACCAAACTTGTGTCTCAAGAGCTGGCATACGATCTTCGGGCACGGTGATCAACCATTCGGATGTACGTCCCTTTGTTTTCTCCTAGTCCTTTCTGCCCACAAACTTGCCCTAGCATACAACGGTGCCGGCCTTCGGGTAGCCGGTTGCGGATCAAACACAGGCGACACCCCCGTCACTGGATGGATTGTTGAAGGGAATAGGTTTAGAACCGCCAAGAGCCCAAACAATCAGTGTCTGGATCTCACTGGTGGAGTCCTTGATCGTGGAATGGGATTGCAGACTTGGGAGTGTACGGAGGGAAATACAAACCAGGTTTGGACCTTTTGATTTTGGGGAAGTGGTCGGTTGGGACTTGGGACTCGAGTAGTTGGATGTGGGCACGGGTTTTTGTTTGGTCATAAATGATGGCTATTTCGAGAACTCTGGATCGTTTATGAATTTGCGATTCGATTTGGCCTCGATATCCAAAACTTCCTTGCTATTCGTTGATCTCAACAGCCGAAGGTTGTGTTCATACCAAACGAAAAAGCGTAAAAAAACAGCTGTCAGTAGTGACAGCCTTGGAAGCTTCGTCGCCTCAACTCTCGGAGGGTTACCTTCACAGTTACACTTCATATCCCCGCTTGAAGAAGGCACAAGAATCTGTGGTCAAGAAAGATTGCTTTGACGCTTCTTAATTTCTAAGATTCTCGGGTGAGCCAGGTATTTTTGAGCAGGAATTTCCCCCCTGTCAGCGCCTGTACATATACAGTAGGCTCCAGGCGGCATAGTATAACCCCAGGTTAGAAAAGATCGCTAAGCCATTTGTATCAGATACTCGGTCTCGATCTTAACCTACGGCTTCGCCAATAACTTTGAGAGAGAGAGACACGACGTCATTGGAAGACCGTATCCACAGGGTATGTTCTCCAGTGCTAGGGTCACTTATTCAGTTGTTTGCTTTGTTGCAACCTCTGGTGCTCGGTCGGGTCGCCTGCCATCCCCAGAAGCGAAGGTTGTTGCGTTCGGTCCTCCCGGAAGCGCTCTGGATTCCATAGATTCCAAAAAGGTCTTTGCCTTACTACGCTAGCAAATGTGTGATGATATCGGTGCGTATTCCTGCTCAACCTTGGGCACTTTGCCCTTCAACAAATTCCCCGTATCGAGGTCAAAATCAGTATCACTGGAGGCGTGCGCGCGGTTATTCTCCTCTTCGCCCCTAATGCTCACAAAGGCTGAGCGCAACACCCGAGTCCTCGTTTCCGAGGAATCAATAAGCGAGTAAGCGAAACTGGGACTACGGCCATGAGTCGGCAGTCATGTATATAGTGCTACTCCGGGAGTATAGGGAGGCGACGATCCGCCGACCGTTACGCAGTATAGATTTGGATTCTCGGGTTCAGCGGTCAAAGCAAACTCTGGAAGTGAATCTTTAGCGTTGCAACTTACATAACGCTGTTTTGGCGGTAGGACTATCTCTCCGTTATGCATTCCCCACACTTCTAGACAGGAGTCGAAGTACAAGCTTTGTAACATGCGTTGTAGCTCAAGGGAGCCAGTCCAACAGAAGAAGAAAAAAGAGGTACAAGTAGTAGGCTCTTTAATTCTGATGCGGGGAATCTGGGCTATTTATTTATTTATTTGGAAGTACATCCCTTTTGGACCTCGCAGGATTCAGGGACCTGCTGCACATCAATACTACGTGCCATCTAAATGTGCAGCAGCGTATGAGGGACGACACCAGAAACAATGATCCCGGCCCATCTTGTCAAGAGAAATTTGATATGAGCAATTGCACATCGGACATGTCGATGATGCCTTGCACAATATTGTTATCGCCGTCTGACTGTTTTGGTGGCAATCAATCCAAAATCCAGATGCACATGAGTCTCCAATTAAGTCCAGATTCGAAGGTCGAGGCTGCCATTTTGAAATTGGATAGGCGAACGACCACCACGATGTGTGACATGTTAAAGGATTCAGACACGGCAAGATGGGAAATTTTGTGCTCCTGCCTACTCCGCCAAACCCGTGCTGTCCCTACCAACCCTATTACTTCGGGGATTCGAGACCACCATACATAATCGCAGGGAAACAGAATTTTGTCGTTTAAAAGGGTGGGGGGGAGGAAGAAGATAGCCAGAGCCAATCACTTCCAACCTCAATCTACCTCACTGTTAGCTGAAGATGCACTTCTCTTCTCTTGTCGTACTTGCTGTGTCTTGCGCCACCGCGACTATTGCCTCAGCTATGACCGTGACTGTTGGCGCTCGTCAGGCTGGAGGACGTCCTCTTCATCCTGTATGTTCTCTCGGCTGATCATTGACGCGACTCGGATCAAACTCTCAACCCTTTCCAGAACGGCAACGCCGATTGGTGTATCGTCCCTTACACCTCGATCGACGAAGGGACTCCTCATTTCGACACCAACGCCGTGATGTAAGTGCTAACCCGCCCAAAGTTGATCGTCTGTTCACACAACTCTATCAACACTGTAGCTACCCGTGCGCTGAGTCCGATTTCACCCTCTGGAACTTCACCGAGGGTGAGACCGAGGTCCAATCCACCGGTGCACCGAATTTGTGTCTCAAGAGCTGGCATACAACCTTCGGACATGGTGATCAAGTATTCGGATGTACGTCCCTTCCTCTTCTCCGGGTCCTTTTATCCGCAAACCTAATCTCTCCCTCCTCAACTAGCATACAACGGTGCTTCACTTCGCGTATTTTAGTTGCGGTGAAATCAGAAGTGACATCCCCATTACCCAATGGATCGTTGAGGGTAATAGGTTCAGAGCCGCCAATAGCCCGAACAATCAGTGTCTGGATCTCACGGCCGGAATTCTTGGCACTGGTCGTAATTTGCAGACCTGGGAGTGTACGGAGGGGAGTACGAACCAAATTTGGACCTTCTGATTCGTGGAAAGTATTCCTTTTGAACTCGGGTGTGATTCGATTCGAATATATTCGACGGGGGTTTCGGGGGATATGAATCATCTATATACCTTTGGCTTTGACGTGCAATATACTCTTGCTCTCTATTCCTCAAGTGCATACAACTCGGAACCGTAAAAATGGTGATCAGTGGGGATAGGTACTAAGCTCGAGCTTAGTTATGAAGCTTTCAAAATTGCACTCGTTCCGGTCTTTCAGAGACCCTTGACCGGTTTTGGATACCCATCTGGACTCTCAGAAGAGCTACCTCCACAGTTGCATCTCGTACCTCGAGTCTGTAATCGAGTTGTGTGCTCGAATGAATTTGAGTCGCTCATCTGCTACCATTCAATTCGATATTGACAGCTGGATTTTGGTACAAAAACTTTGGGACCAGGAAACATAACTGCTGTCCCCGATCTTTCTTGTATTTCAGCCTGACGGAGTTTTGAGAGCCTTGATCACCATCGGCAGGACCCCTGCAAAAGTTCCATAGTCAGAAAGGTGAATATCGAGTAAGCCATAGTGCATACCTCCCGTCTGCAGGGAGAATGAAGGCCGACCGACTGCGCCAGAGAATCCATTGATAATACCACTATGTGCGGTCACA